AATTTTCTCCCTGCATAAGCTCACAACATCCTTGTAGTCTTCCTGAGTTGCTTGTCCCTTCTTCCAAAAGGTGAAACACTCTTTTTTTCCCTGAGTTCCAGACAAAGCTCTCTATTCAGCCAGGCTGATCTTCCCCTCTGGCTAGTCTTTTGGCACATGGGGACAGCCTCCTCCTGTGCCTTTAAGATTTCCTTCTTAAAGCACGTTCAGCCTTCCTGGACTCTTTTGCCCTTCAGGACTGCCTCCTAAGGGACTCTCTCAAGCAGTTTCCTAAACAGGCCAGTCTGCCCTCCGAAAGTCTAAGCTAGCACTTCTGCTGACCTCCCTCCTTACTTCTCTGAGAATTGTAAACTCTATCATTTTGTGATCACTATGCCCAAGATGGCCTCCGACCATCACATCACCCACCAGTCCTTCTCTGTTTACAAACAGCAGGTCCAGCAGGGCATCTCCCCTGGTTGGCTCACTCATACATGCACATTTCAAATTGCAATCTGATTGTCAGCCCTCTCCATCAAGTGACCCAGAAGAAGAATGATTTCAAATGGGGCCCTGAGGAATGAGAAGCCTTTGAAAAAATCAAACAGGAGATAGTTCATGCAGTAACACTTTGACCCATCTGGACAGAGCAAGATTATCCTTGGAAGTGTTCAAGTCCAGGCTGGATGGGGCTCTAAGTAACCAGGTCTAGTGGAAGGTTCCCTTCCCATGGCAGGCAGATTGTAACTAGATGAGCTTTAAGGTTCCTTCCAACCATTCTAGGATTCTATGATTTCCAGATGTAAAAAATGTGCTCTACACTGGGGAGAATGGCCCTACCTGGAGTGTAGGAGCATCTAGACAGACAACACCAGCCACCTGGATGATAAAAGAAGAAGAAAATACTAAAGAAAAAAATATTGTGGTCCTGAGTGAGCCAGAGCTAAGATTAGTGCGTGTGAAAAGAATCACAAGGTCAAACTGGAAAGCCACTTGAGACGTGATCGTTCTTTGCAACTGAAAACAGTCAGGTGGGCGTGTGTGGTATGCGTGGGGATAAGAAACATCTGGCCTGCCTTGATATTCTGTATATTATATGGGGTAGTAGAGTTATGAGTTAGTTCTGTCTGGACAAAGTCTGTCTCCACTTGGATTCATTCGCTCCACTGTAGCCTCTGCCAGAAAGCAGCAGGGAAGACTCAAGGTCAACCCCTCGGCTTTTGGAGTCAGGGATACAGAGGATCTGAAGCCTGCTATACTTCAACTGAGAAAGAGATACTGGCAGCTTGTGAAGGGGTTTGAGCTGCTTCAGAGGTGATTGGTACTGAAGCATAGCTCCTCCTGGCACCCTGGTTACCTGTGTTGGCTTGGATGTTCAAAAGGAGGGTCTCCTCTGCACATCATGCAACTGATGCTACATGGAGTAAGTGGGTCGCACTGATCACACAATGAGCTTGAATCGGAAATGCTAGTCTTCCAGGAATCTTTGAAGTGATCATGGACTGGCTAGAAGGCAAAGATTTTGGAATGTCATCAGAGGAGGTGACACATGCTGAAGAGACCACACTGTATAATAAATTACCAGGAAGTGAGAAGCACTATGCCTTATTTACTGATGGATCCTGCTGTATTGTGGGAAAGTATCAGAGATGGAAAGTAACAGTATGAAGTCCCCTACAACAAGTTGCAGAAACTGCAGAAGGTGAATGGAGTCACTTTGCAGAGGTGAAAGTTCTCCAGCTCGCTCTAGATATTGCTGAATGAGAAAAATGGCCAATATTTTATCTCCATACTGATTCATGGATGGTGGCAAATGCCCTGTGGGGGTGGTTGCAGCAATGGAAGCAGAAAAACTGGCAGTGTAGGGGTAGACCCATCTGGGCTGCTGCATTATGGCAAGATATTGCTGCTTGGCTGGAGAACCCGGCTATGAAGGTATGTGACATAGATGCTCATGTAGCCAAGAGTCGGGCCACTGAAGAACACCAGAACAATCAGCAGGTGGATCAGGTTGCTAAGATTGAAGTGGATTTGGATTGGCAAGTTAAGGGTGAATTATTTCTGCCTTGGTGGGCCCATGACACCTCAGACCATCAAGGAAAAAACCCAACATATATGTGGGTTCATGAGAAAGGGGTGGACTTGACCATGGACACTTGCGGGGAGGCAGGGGGAATGAGTGAGCAGCTTCATGGTACCTAGTTGCTGGCTGGGGTTAGACCATGACATGTGGCCTATGGAAAAAGACAGGCATCCAAGAGTATAAAGCCATATGTAAATTGAAATATATATTAAAAACAAACCACACAATACTGAGAAGAAATCTTGTGCTGAGAGAGACTGATTTAAAGATACTGCATAACTAAGATAAAACATAGCCTGTAGAGCGAATCTTCAGAAAGAAAAAGCTTTATCTCACAGTTTCATTTGCTACCTTCAGCTGTCCTGAGGATGAGACATCAGAATTATCCAAGTCATTAATAACCAGCACAGAAATTTACACACAGGTATAAGAGTTTACAGTATTAAAAGAATGTACTTATTGTGTGATGGCAATTGTTAAATTTTTTAAACTGCATTTCAAGACAATTAATTAAACTACAGTATAGTCCAGGAAAGGTGTCAGGCTGACATACTGGAGGATTACAGAATCAAATAAAAGCAAAAACTTTTCTATGCTTTCTTCATTGTTGAAAAAGAGGTCCAGAAGGTAAAAGGGAAACTCATCATTAAGGATACATACACCCAGACATGACCCTGTGTGCATCTATATGGAGGAACTATTCGTTAAAGGGAGAGACTGTTGAACCATCTAGAACTGTTTAGTCTGTGGCATGTCTTGTGATGCAACCAACTACAGATAAAGCCTATCTAAATAATGCCTTTGAGATATGGATGTCTGTAGAAAATGGGATTAAGACACAGAATCTAAAAATATAGGCAGACTGTAACAAGGTTCTGATCATTATGAAATCTGATTAAGTTACTGTGGTATCAAAACCATTAACACTCTACAGCTCTTTATGAAGTCTAGGAATACTGCATATGGGATCCATTAAGTGACACAAGGCTAGATCGCATATAGCCTTACCTTAAGTGAAAGCCCCCTGCATTCTGCTTAATAAAGTGCTGTATTTCTAAAATCTGCTGTTGCAGCAGTATTAAACATAAAATGCTCTTTCAGTAGGGTCATCCTTTATTCCCTTTACATGCATCATATATATGTATGTATGTGTGTCTGTGTGTGCATCTGGAGCATGTAAATAAACCCTAAAATTGACTACTTTAGGCTTCCTCTGCCAGAACTCTCAGCATAATGAAGCATAAATTTCCTTAAGATTCTTTGGCAAACTCATGCTCTACTCAGACTGAGATCCTTTCTCTCCTTCTGCAGAACTGCAAACTCTTTAGTGGCTCTATATTGCTTATTGAGTCATTCAAACATACACAGAGCATGCTAGATTTCTTCCTGCTGTCTCCTTCTTTCTGGGTTATATAAGGACACCTTTTCATTTTTGCATAGTTTGCTAGGTTATGCTGCTTGCAAAGGCACCGATGAACATGTAATTAGTGACAAACATGTTTGCACTTTCCTCTGTTTTGAAGGACTGACAAACTCTCAAACAGATGGCTAAACTGACCTCTTTTTAAACTGAAGACAGAGAAAAGTCATTCTGAGGGATTTTGATCTCTGAGGTGGGAAATCAAGAAGAATTATGATTTTTTAATTTAGAGCAGATGACTTTCCATTCTGTTTTCTCTTAATAGTTCATCATGTGAACTGGAATAAATCCTACTGTTTGCTTTGTCCTATGAACGACAGATAAACCCCAATGATTTAAATTATTTTATTATCCAAATTTCACAGATTATTCAATTTACATTATCCTGTCACAGGTAATATGCATAGCAGTGCATTCAAAGATGAACTACAAGGAACTGGTGCCTTTTCTATATGCTTCTAATAAGGACTTGGTTGGTCATAAATCTGTCAGAAAAAACATGGGTTTAAAAAGTACATGTGAGCTTGAAGAGGCAAAAAATCACCTAAGATGGTTTTCAAAATTAAAGAGGTTTAACCATGACTTAAAATGGTGTTAATTGAATATGTAGATGCTCTTGCAAATCCTATTAGCAGCCTATTTACATACCCCGCCTGAATTGTTTATCCCAACAAGCATACCACTTACCCTCAACATAGGGCCATTCTGGAACACATGGGGTTCATCACAGACTACACAGTATTCATTCAATACCGGTATCCGCTGCTCAGCAAATTCAATTGTCTGGGAACAATGAAAATGAGAAAAACAATATCTGCTTAAAAATAATTAAGTTCATGCTCCACAGTGTTTCATAAATAGATAAGATATGACATCCTACCTGCACAAGAAAGCCACGGTCTTGTACCAAAATGCATTTTGCACCATAATTTTGCTGCAAGGAAAATGTTCAGGGAACTTCAGTGTTGGTAAACTAATTATAAGGAATTTTTTTGCATGCCAATATGTTAAACAATATTTGCATCTAAAAAGATCTGTCATTTGCATAAACCAACCATTTCAAATCATCAAACCTTTTACTGTTTGGTGAGTGTGGGGTAGATTTTCAACATTTCTTTTTCGTTCCTAAATCTGATGTATGAGTTTTGTATCTCAGCATCCCAAAACTTTTAATCTCAAATGGAAACACCAGGGCCTTCACTCCATTCTAATCAACTGGAATTTGGTAACTTCCTTTAAATTTTAACTGTGTATTGTCTGTTCAGATGGGCTATATGCTTAGGCTTGAGTGATTAATATAACTCTCAGAACAGCTGAAAATATTTTTCATTTAAATATTTGCTAAGATCCCACTTCAGTGAGCACCACGCTAACAGACCTCTGTGCTCAGATCCCACTCAGATTCTTTCTGCATTTTTATTTCAATGTACAACAATTTAATTAGAAGGATCTTTTGTTATAGGAGTCACTAATGTACAAAATTCCCTCTGGGCTGATATTTATATCAGTCATCTCTATTTACAGCTTTTTGGGGTTTTGTTTTTGTTTATAGTCTTATTTTCTTTCATTTCTCTAAGTCCAGTATGATGATGATCACAGCTGAAAATACCAGAAGGAGAGGTGACTTGGCACCCGAACAAGCCAATGGACAGTTCCTTTCCCCACAAAGCAAACAGGGAAATGAGAAAAGACCTGTGTGATCAAGCCAATTTTGCAGCACAGAAGCTTACACTCTCCCTGCAGCAAGAAAGGAGGCAGGGAAGGAAGTGGTTCATTGAACTTTTCCTATTGCCAGCAATATTGTTGAGCTGTATCCAATGTGAGATGTAAGATCTCTGTCTTGACCTAAGCAAATTCTAACTTAAATATATGTGCATGCACAGTTGCTTAAATCCTCCTTAAAAAACTGACTCCATTGCTCTTGTCTTCCAATATATTTAATATATCCAATATATTCACTGAAATATGTCCTAAACACTAGTGTCTTTGCTTAATAAGCATAATAGTACATTTGGAAAATAACTGGAGGAAAATGAGCAGACTAAAAAAATTGTTACGCACAACAATTTGTGAAGGAGATGATGAAGATGATGTTAATATCCCAATAAGCCCTGAGGTAAGAGAGAGACTCCTGCCCTCTGCTGTGGTGAACTCTTTCAAAGGCTTCATTTTGGATGATTTAGGGGCATTAGAGTAAGTCTTGCTGAGTAATTTGTGGTTCTTCAATCCATCCAATTCTTTCATTCTAAGATTACTGGAGTGGGAACTGCTTAAAAATTTATGGGACTTCAAAGTGCTGTTGTGTTCACATTGAGGGTTCCCAGAACATGACCTACTTAATAGCATATGTGACTTTAAAGCAATGCACTCCTCCTGCCTGACAACTGAAGAGCAAGAACGGTTCAACAGTTTGTGTGATTTAATAGCTATTGTCTGTTCTGCCCTAGCATCACTCAACAACAAGCAGCCAAAGGTTCTGTGAGATTTTGTGGCACACACATCCTCTGCCTTAACTGTTCTAGAGTAAGTCCTTCTCAGTAGCTTGTGAGTTTTGGAGATCCTATCCTGTTCTGACTTCAGTTTTGATTTATTTTTACCACGGCCAGGTGGAGGATAACTTGGTGACCTTAAAAATAAAGAAAGAGAAGACATAGTTGAAAAATAATCAGTCTTGTGCTAATCCAAAAAAAAAAAAAAGTCCAGATATATTTACAAATTTAGGTACCACCTGTTTTTATGTATTTCACTAGTGATAAACACAGATCAACATTAAAAAAAAGATCAATTGTATGTAGACCTAATTTCCTAATAATAGACATCTTACTCCTATTTATACAAAAACCCATCCATTGAAAAGATGACTGACTACTTCAGGCAAGTGAGAACTATATCCTTACAGTTCTTTGTAAAGACCCCTATATCTCAAAACAAACCATTTATTTAGATTATACTTGAAATGAAAACCACATATTTCACACAAGATTGTATCACATTTTTTTTATCAAAAGCTACCTTTCATGCCATCATGGCATGATCCCATTACAGTTATTGTCTTATGGACATGACATAACAAATTTTATGTCCAGATCCAATGAGCAGTGAAACTTGCAGGCAGTAAATAAAATTTATTTCAACTGAAATTAACATTTGAAAAAAAAAACCACAATAATCTGGGTGCTTTGTGGAAGACAATTTGATGCCCTTCTCTCCTGTTTTAGACAAACTCTAGCTCTGTAACACTAAAAAGAGAATGTGAAATTATTGTCATGGTTTAGGAATGTTATTCTCCAATTTAGTACTCCCATAAAAACCACACACCCTCCCCCTCCCTCATCTAATTGGAGACACAAAAGGTAAAGATCACAGGTTGAGATAAGAACAATTTACTGGAAACAGCAATGAGATAAGAAAATGAACAGTAATAGCAACAATATTAATGACAAAGAGTATAAGAAACCATTCACATGAACATCTCCCTTGCCTCCACCCCCCATGGTTCCCTCCACCACATTTTCTTGACTGGAAGGAACCCCTTCTCCCCAGAAGAGAGTCCCTTTCCCTTACCCGCGGCAATGATGTGAGCTGGTAGATCTCTGTGTCCTAGCCATGCCTTCTCCTGGCTACTGCAAAAATTAACCCTGTCCCAGCCAGAACCAGAACAATTATAAATGCAGAAATAAAGAAAAAAGTTTTTTCTGAAAGAACATTCACATGAACTGTTACATTTTAATGAGTTTCATGTTCACCTGTCCTTCCAAAGCAAGAACCAGTATCAGGTATGCTGAATCATTTTTCTACACTTTACAAGCAACCCTAAACTTTGTTACTAAGTTATGACAGTGAAAAATGCATGTGGAGGTTACTGACTCACTGTTGCAGTTGGCTAATTACCACCCTTGGGCTGACAGGAGGAAGGTGTGGTGCTTTACAAAGCAAGAGAGGGTCTCTGTTTGGGCTGAGTGGTCTTTGGACAGGCACTGCAGCAGGAACAGCCAAATCAAGAGGAGAAAGACTTAGCTGGCTTTTGTATGACCTTTCTGAATAAAACCAAACCCCAAGTTACAGCCTACACTTGGTAATGATGGGTGGCATGGTAGGGAATGGGTACACTTTTGACTTAAAACACCATCTTTGTCTTCTGCCTTTGAAAAGAAAAAAAATCTTTTGTTATCTTTGACATTCCTCTCTGTCTTGGTTTAAATGACTGCCAAAGAAGGTGGAAACCTTCCTGGAATAGAAAGAAGACCTCTCCCTCTGAGTTATTATAACTTTGAAATTAAGAGGCTTTCAGGCAAAAATGTGGAAAAAGGAATGACAGTTCTTTACTAAAAATATATAGAACAAAAACAGAACAAACAACAACACTGTAACTGAAACTTTCAAACAGTTAAGTACTACTTTCCCTTTCGGCAAAGTTATAACCACACCAAGCAGAGGGCGCTAGTGGGGTCTGGTGAAGCAAAGGCTGCAATGACTCATTCAAGGCCGGCAGGGGGGAGCTGTTGGGCTCAGGTGGCAACAGGTCCACTGCATCTGCGGGAAACCAGTGTGTAGGAGTGATTCAAAGAAATCCTTAAACGATATGTAAAGCACACTTTTATTACGGCCAGGGAGATGCAGGGGTTTTTACCCCCCCCCCCCTTCTCCCGTGCATTCCACCGAGTAAAGAAACACAACAGCTTTTTATACATTTGAAGGAGTGAGTTTCAAAATTATCTATCATATACACTCTTTACAAAGTCTGCCTTATCTAAATAGACATTTGGTTGTCTAACTCCTATTCTTATTACTATAGAGTAGTACACAGAAGTAACTGTGCAACGTTTAACATCCTGCTTTGCAGAGGCTGCTGTGCTTTTTGGACTGGAAGTAAGCTTGAAGAAGACAGAAGTTTTCTATCAGCCTGCACCTCAGGAAGTCTCCCATCATCCCCATATCACCATTGGTGAAACAGAGCTCAAATCAGTCCAGCAGTTTAATTACCTGGGAAGCATCATCTCCTCGGACGGTAAGATTGATGCAGAAATAGACAACAGGTTAGCAAAGGCATACAGAGCTTTTGGTAAACTCCATAAAAGAGTGTGGCAAAACAAACACCTGAAGAAAAGTACTAAGATCAGCATTTACAGAGTCATTGTACTGTCTATTCTTTTATATGGGTCTGAATCATGGGTCATTTACTGGCACCACTTGCGTCTCTTAGAACGCTTCCATCAACGCTGCCTCCGTACAATCCTAAACATCCACTGGACTATGTGACCAACATGTCTGTCCTTGAACAGGCAGCAGTCACGAGCATTGAGGCCATGCTGCTGAGAACTCAGCTGCATTGGGCAGGGCACGTCTCCAGGATGCAGGACTACTGCCTCCCTAAGATTGTACTCTATGGGGAACTTGCCACTGGCTGCCGCAAGAGAGGAGCCCCGAAGAGGAGATACAAGGACTGCCTGAAACAATCCCTCAGCCTTGGCCATATTGATCCCCACCATTGGTGTACTCTGACCTCCAATCAGGAGGCCTGGAGACACACCATCTATAACGCTACTGCTTCTTTTGAGAACACATTCAGGATCACTCTCGAGGAGAAAAGACAATGCAGAAAGAATTGCGTCTCATCGATATCACCTGGGGAGTCTTTCTGCTGTACCTTCTGCAACCGGACTTGTCTATCTCGCATTGGCCTTTTTGACCATCAGCACGCTTGTAGCAAACGTGGGTAGAGCCCTTCTCAAATCTTCATTTGCAAAGCCTAGCCATGATGATGATGATGATGATGAGTTACATAAAGTTTTATCATTTCAAAGAGCTTAGGTTTCCTCCATCCCTCTTCTGTTTCCCTTGAGATGATACATGCTAGAAGTCTTTCCTGTTTTCCCTGACAGTCTCTTTTGTTGGCATAAGCTAGCTTTATCTTAATTGCCCACAATCTTCTTTCTTAATTGCAGCAATCTTCTTTCAAGCAGTTACAAATTTGCACAGTCACACTTAACATGGCTAAATTTTACTAACATAGCTAAATTTTTATTGTGTTTTATCTTGTATTTATTTCAATTCCCCCCTTTTCTTTTAACTAATGCAAATTCTTTTGCATCCCCCTTTGTACAGTCCAGAGCACATGTACTTTATGCGCTATGGTCTTAATCCTCCACCACATCCATAGATTGATGATTGTAAGAAAGAAAGCTGCCAGCATCAAGACCAAGACAGGGTGGACCAGGAAGTTAAACAGCTGGGTTGCAGTGGGTGATTGTTTATTGGTTATTTCCAGAAATATGCTCCACCAATGATGTTCTCCAGTCTTTGCCACTTCTGTAATGATGTTTTTAATCTCTGTGGTGTCTTGTTTCACTTGCCACAGCATGCGACATGAAGCAGCATTTACCTTTTCCCTCATTTGTTCAACATCAGGATGATAGAGCATTTTCTGGAGGATATTAATGTCCATGCCTATTTGTAGTTTAGGCACTTCATGATATAACATATATTTATCCAAGATCAATTGCATGGTGGTCATAGAACCAGTGTAACTAAAGTCACATCCTATTATTTTAGCAAAATTGCAAACACAGAAGTTAGTACCATTAGTTAATTCTTCACAGTCATCAATAATTATACTTGTGCAAGGTGTCATGATGCATGCACATCCTTTGCTTACATAGTATACATGGGACTGTGCCTGTGTATTTGGGAACATTTCGAAGGTACACACACTATCTTCCGTATCGAAACATAAATCCTCCTTCTCTGTTATAGCATTTTAACATATATATCGTAGTTGTTCTCTGGGTATACAGGCTTCTGTGTTGACAGTTTGCCATCTCCCTATGTGTCTCAGTTTAAATGAGACACAAGTGTTTTGCTGAGTATGAGTTATGAGGAAGACCCAAACTACTCCCTCTAAGCAATTGTAAGTCCGAAATTAAAAGGTTCCATTGAGAAAAATGTGGAAAAAGGAAAAAAATAACAGCTCTTTACTAAAAGATATCTGTGTATTGGCAGAACAACAAAGGAACACAACTGAAACAACCAAACAGTACTCCTATACCCAAAAATAATTCTCTTCAAAACGAACGAACAAACAAACAAAGTAAACAGTTCAGTTTGTACCCTTTGGTGCAATTCTAACCACAGTCAGCAAGGGGAGCTGTTTGATCACTAAAGATGCAGAACCTGCAATGCTAGGAATCAGTCAGCAGGGGGCGCTGTTGGATCACTGGTGGTGGCCACCTGGCCGGGGCCCTGGGGGGTATGCTGGAGAGGCCAACAATGAAGATCTTCCCTCCCTCTCACCAGGAAAAGGGAGACAGGAGGGAAAGAAAGAAAAAGGTCCTTCCCAAGGGGAACTCTGTCCTGCTGGTTGAGTCATATGGTGTGGCTTTCCCCTCTCCTTTGATGTGCACAAGAACTGCTGCCAAAAAAATGGAGAAGGAAAGGCCTCACGAACAGTTCCTTGCCGATGAAAATCCAAGCAAAATTCCCATCTGGAAGCCAGGTTTAGAGCAAAGCCTCCTCCGAGCTCCTGCCACCTGGACCTCATTCCAGATCAGGCAGCAACAAACTCCTCCCCTGTTTCCCCGGAGAGGAGGAAAAATAATATTAATAAAAAAAAGAACTCCTCACCCCTCCCCACAGATAAGATCTTGAGGGCCATCAAC